ATACCCGGGAGGCATGAGGTCACACATCAGCAAAGAGATTATTTGTTTTGCAGTTTGTCACTAGCTCTGAGACTTTGTTTCACAGTGCGCGGCACAGAACGAATCAAACCTTTTGGCCCTCAAAAGAAGAGCATGACTGGCTGCAGATTCTCTTGCTGATTTCTTTCTCTGCCCCTCCGGCCCCCAAATTTGTTGGGAGATTAGTAGATAGAAGAAAATATAATAATTAACTTTTTCTTATAAAAGAGCAGCATCATTTTTGCTTCACTTCCTTCTTGCTCACGCCACGTCTCCCCGAATGTAGTAACACTGATGTCTATTAAGGCAAGTAGAACATACACAGAAAGGCAATGGAGCAAAACCAGGCATCCATTCCATTTCAGGTGATTTTTATTTTATGCTCAGCCACTGAAAAATTGTTGCATGAAGGACTGTTTTGTCCATAATGAAGAGTTTGGTTGGATAGCTTCTGCCTTGTTTCTTTTGTTGTAAGAAACAAATTTACTTCTCACCATACTACACCTGCCTACTGATAGGTCTGAGATTTTCCTCTAGGCTGGCTCATTGATGGATCCAATATTTTCGCTGCATAAGACAGGAGATCATAATAGTTTCTCCTGTTCTGCTTTTTATCCTCAGGTATCTTAAGTGGCTCGTCAAAGTTAACACAGGCGTAAGCAGCCGTGTTGTAAGACTGGAAAGCTGCATCCTGCAAGCTGAGCAAATCATTCTTAAGGGGTGAGTTATTCACTGAATTTTTGCTGTATCCTGTTTGAAGACATGAAACCCTGAAGACATAAAAGGAACCCTTCATTGTTCTGCCTACATTAGAATTTAGTTGTGTTAATTAACATGTGCTAAACCATGGGTAAAAATTCAATGTAGACAGACTCTGCATTATTTAAACTTGCTCAGAGCAGGTCTGGCCACATTTGGGAATAATTTCAAACAAGTTCTTCAATTTATTCCAATGTAGATACATGCCCGTGGCAGATAAAAACACCAACAGTCAGCTGGAGCCTTGCCACACCGGCATCATTCCTGCCACCAATGGAGAAGTATCAGTGCAAGCATCAATGGCAAAGTATTCAGGAAAGAGAATGGTGGAGTCACAGCCTAAAAGGGGTCCAGAAGCCAGGGAGTTTGCAGTGCTGCTGTATAATCTGGGAAATCCACGAAAGAAAGAAAAGGGGCAACTGGATGGCTGAGAAACTAACATTGGGATGCAGAGCTTTTCACCTGTAGGTCACTGGTTCAATCTAGCCCAGTTGAGTGCGGCTGGAAGTTATCACCCGCTGGAGATTTCACATGGAGGATTTCCAACTACATGTCAGCCTGGAGTCTCCCCAGCACAAAATCCAGTCTTTTTCTTCCAATAAGGAATAAAACCCGGACATTTGTCAGAAAACGCTTTGCACAATGTATGTTTCAAACATCCCTCTGAACCTCAAGCCGCTTCCCCAGCAGCAAACACGTGATGTAACTCTCAGAAGTCTTTTCTGTGAACACTGAAAGTTTGTTCCTGGGTGATACAGAGGCTTACAGGACAGTAGGTTTGTCTTTGGTTTTCTGATAGGAACATACGGTTTGTTAGCATGGAACTGAAGTTAAAGTCATCTGGATTTAATTGTTTTCTCCCTTTGTGAAAGGAGTTTGGCATTATGTGGCTTAAACTGCAGAACCAGAAAGAAATGGAGATAGTGGGGAAAGTGAAGCACTACAAGGAGATGCCAAAAAGACAGAGGCTGAGACTAGGAAGATGCTGATTTTACCCCAACTCTTTTTAAAATTAAAATAAAATTGGCCCCATGGCCCCTTTGGAATCAAGGTTTTTTAATTAAACAAACAAACAAAAAAAAACCCACCACCACCACTTTCCTCCGTGCCCCTTCAGAGCTAACCAATCACTATCTTCTGTCCTGCATTTACAAAACTGCAACAGAATCAGTTAGGGTCATCTATACTTTTCTAATATACCTAAGGGCCCCTCCTCTGGTCTTGGGCTTTCCTGATCACTTAGCTGCAGACAAGGGAGAAAATCCCTGGCTGGAAGCTGAAGGGGGAAGGGGCAGAGAGTTTGCAGCAATGGGCCGAAAGAGATAGAAATAGTCTCAATTCATAGGCCCCAATTCTTGAGTCTGGCTGAGTTGTTCTTGCCACACGTTCCGAAAGGAGGTGTGGGGCGTGGTAGATAAATTCAGCTTTGTGCTATTTTTGCATCTCTTTGATCCTGAGGCTCCTGGCACAACTTTAGAGCAGCCTCAGGACGGCACTAAGTTTTGCCCAGCTATATATGGCTCCAAGAGATCATTCCAGAAGCTGGGGATTGCTGGAGTGCAGCAGCACTCTAGCTGCATCCCCCAGCACTGAAGGAAGCTTTGGAAATCTGGTCTTTAGGACTGAGATGGCTGTCAGGCTAAGGAGGAAAGAGGAGAGGGTCCTGCAGAAACAGAGGGAGAGAGAATCTTTTGGGGTTGATGGAGGGAAGGCATGAGCTGCCAGGCTGGCGAGGAAAGGAGACTATATTCAGTGGGGGCCTACTGGGGTGGGAAGATGTTTTAGGGGCGGGTCAGACACAGTGGTGGCTGTGGGTCACATTTAGCTGTAATCTACTCCCGGTGACAATAAGTCTTAGATGGGAAAAGGAGTGAACAGAGCTGCATTCAGTGGCTGCCCATTAAGTGATTGTGAAGGATTGTTTTATGTCAGATTAAATATGGCTGTAAATGTGTCTGGTCCGGTAGGCCGGTTAGCATGGCTCCATACACGATGGTAATGGTGTTAATGACTCAGTGTGAACTTCAGGGAATTAAATGTATCGATCAGATGGTTTCAGTGATGATGCATCATACATTTATAACAGGAAAGCAAATCACTTTTACCAAACATTAATACAACTCAGTGCCTTAACTAGGTTTATGAAGAAATACTGACCCTTAGATGTTAAGATGCTGTTGACCCATGTGTTGTTCTTGATATTACACTGCAATTACTTCCTCCACATTGTATGCTTTCCACTGTAGACGAGCTGATGAAGCCATGATCAATCTTTTTGCTAATGTAGTCAGCATGAAGCTTTTTGCTGAATCACCACATAAGCCCCTTTGTAATGGGAGGGCCTTGGCCAGCATTTGACAGCAAATCACAACAGAAGCAAAAGAAACCTTTATATGAAAAAGAAGATGCAATATTAACAGGAAAACAAATTATCTGGCAGCTGAATGGCCACCTCCCCTTCCAGGCTCTCTATTCAAAAGTGGATGGTGAACGGGGGTTGCAGATGTCTTAGTTCCTGACAAAATAAGACGCACAACTCCTGATCCCTCTGCATGAAGCATCCCAGTCCCTTAAGCTGCATAATAGATTATGGAATTATCAGCAAGTTTTACAAGGACCGGAATCACTCAACACTATTATTATTAGCATCTAGGAACCTTAGTCAAGATTCAGGGCCCTCCTGGTACTAGGCACTGTACAAGCATATAACAAAGAAGACAATCCCTGCACCAGACAGCTCACAATCTACACATGCCACTGGTAGACAACACACATAGGCAGAGGTAGGCTAGGAGGAAGATGTGACAATGATGCAGAGTTTAGCAGCAGAGCAGAAGTCACAGCTATTCCCTGGCCTAGCCAGTGCCCGAGGGTAGTGACCTGTAGGCATCACAGCAAAGGCAGGTTTTAAGGTGGGATTTAACAGAGAACAAGGTAAAGGCGCTATGAATGTCGATGGGAGTTTTCCTCATGTGTGTGGGATGGCACAGGAGAATGTGGGCCATCAAGGACAATGGCTCAATAAGTTAATAGGTCTTAGGTAGGATGGAGCTAACTGGCAAAGGGCCTTAAAGGCAAAGACCAGGAGTTTGTGTTCGATGGGGGAGGGGGGGCACGGCAAGACACAAAGGGGTGCGTGATGTGGTTGGAGCGATGAGCCAGATCCCCCCTTTATACTTCTGTGTAGCTCAAAATATCCCACCTCAAAAGCATATGTGAGCAGGAGCCTTTCCCAACCTGTTCCAAAATAGAGGCCACCCACCCCGTGGGCAGGGTCAAATCTCACCCCCTCCCTGGGCAGTGATTGTAGTAACTAAAACACAAAGTCATCAATAATGTAACAAAATTCAGCTCAAATCCCTCCCTCTCAGGGCTGGCTGCTCCCAGGATGCCACCCTATGGACGGCTCAGCCCACGTTCTCCAGCATCACTCCTGCCTCCATTACCTCTGGCAGGGTAGGAGCTGCCTGAGTCAGCAGAACCTGATTAACCCTTTCCTGCCAGATGAACACCTGCTAACGGAGTGTTTCAGGCCAATTCTACCCACCTGTTACCCTTCCTCGCCTGAAATAAGCAACTACAGCATCTTAAACCAACCATCAACAGCAACAGACATTTAGCAATATATCCTATATCCAGCATCAGGATCAAAAGGCACCCCGCCACCCTCACCCGCAGACTGAACACGTGTACACCGAGCATTTCCGGTTTGGGCTACGTGCCCACTGCAGACTGTATTGATGTAAGTCACAGCCTCCGGTACCAAAGCTTGGCTGTCTGCCTAGGCACAAGTTGCTGTAAGTCCTGCTGTCTCCTTGGCATATTCAACACCTCACCCTTGCTTTCACAGATAATAGCTACACTACAACACACTGATATCATACTAGCTTTATTGCTCATAGCATCTCAGCAGACAGCTCCATGTCACCTTCAGCCATTCAAAACAAACTCTAGCAGAATTGAACCTGGGTCTTCGATTGCCCAAGTGAGCACCCAAAACAGGGGACGATCTGTCCTCTATAGGGGCAGAGCAACTAATGTGCACAACATGTGTTCTCAGAAAGCTGTGACGGGCACAGCTCAGACTCACAGCTCTCCATGGCAAGTTCTGACTCTAGCTGGCAAGCCAAAAACAAAACAAAACACAAATAAAAACCCAGCAAGTGATACTTTTAAAAGAAATTGTTTAATTTCACATATCTATCTGATAGTGTGCAAATTAAAAAAAAAAAAAAAGAAAAAGAAAATGTTTCAAATAAAATTGCTAGAACTTTGACACTTCTTAAAATATACATTTTATTATTTTCTGGTGTTTGCTGTGAATGTTTCATTCAAATGGTGAAGGTATACAACCTTTACAAACTTCTGGAGTTAAAGATTTTCTTTTTTTTTCCACTGAAGAGGAAAATACATTGGCTATAAAATGTTGAAATTCATTAAATATTTTGTTTTACCCCCCTCATCTATGCTGTGGAATGCTTTGTAGAAATACTGTATAAAATAAGGCAGACTTTTGATAGGGAATTTAATTATAAAATTACAGGGAAGAAAAAAATGAACATCCCAAGTTATTATTATTATTATTTTTTACCAAGAGTAGCAACCTTGGGACGATCTTGTGGTCACCAGTAGGGAGTGAGAGAGAACTGCTGGAGTTCTGGTGCTTATACAGTATGCATTTCTTGTTTATTTTACTACTCTCCAGTGAGACCTTTTAATAAAACTTATTTTAATTAACATAAAATCAGACAATATTTAAACATACACATCTATCCTTACAGTGCAATAAAAATGTGTCATTGTATAGTATTTTGTATTTGCATTATGAAAATAAAAGGTCTGTACATCAATTAAATGTATATTGATGAGTATGAATCATGTAAATTTGTAATGCATCTAAAGTTGGCTTTGGCTTTTAAGTATTTATAAATTCATAGAAAATATTGAACATCTAACAAAATAAATAAAACATATTTTAATAATAGATGCTAACGATCAACTTCAAAAATTCTTGTGTTATTTTTTACATTTGCTACTAAATTTCTTTAAGAGAACTCACTTTCAGTAGTGCTCAGAAGTGAATGATTGCACCTTCTGTGATGTGAAAAAATAGAGTACATCTATTTTTCATAGATCAAAAACTCTTTCATGAAGAGTTGCATTTTAAATGTCCGACTGGTAAATGTAACTGTTCTTAAGTGCTTATAAAAAGCAAGGAGCTTTCTCATAAAAGCTGTGAGTCACTATTAACAGATACTCCTCCTTCACTTGCAGATTTGAGGACTAAGCAAAATCTTCTATAGGACACCCCTTTTCGTGAGGATATCTTCAAGCTTCACATACTGGTATGAAGATAATGCAAAAATATGTTCACGAATAGACCCTCTTCAGTACAGGTACTGCAGCAATCCAGTGTAATTCAGCTGATAAGTTCACTTCATTTGAGTCCATACACGGCAGTTTGCAGGAGTCAGCTGCTGACCTCATGTTGTCTTGAATGTGAAAGGTTCACAAGCACATGGGTTAGCCTTACTGTAATACTGAAGGGATCAAAACTAATTTGAAATCACATGAACAAAAGTGAGCTTGAGTAAATATGCATCTGGACAGGTAAGTTACACACTGTGGCCTAATTGCTATTCAGGTGGTGGTCGAAGGCTCCGTAGCTTCTTGTCATCGAGACCTTTCCAATATTTAAAGTTATTGTCCAGATGCTGCATCAAATTTGGTAGGTCTGCAAATGCTAGGAAAGAAAGGACACAGTGTAGTTAGCCAGCAGAACTGAAATGGTTCCATGATTCTACTTGCTTAAATATAATTTGAAATACGGGAGGAACTGTATTAAGTGGGATGGTTTATATCTGTTATACTGATACTTGAAATGGTTCTTGTCTTCTACATCTTCCCAGGAGAGTTACAAGAATACTATAAGTATATTTAGCAATTGTATTGCAATTAGGAAAGCACCAGTTTTCTATCAAGGACCTAGATACTGTGACTGTAACTATTATGCTTGATAAAATTCCAGTTACGTGCACAGCTGATTTGCCATTTATGAGTGTGTCACAATTCTGACTACTTGTAATCACTAATGACAGCAATGGAGAAGAAATGGTTGATATACTGTAAACAGTTCTCAAAAGAAATTCAACCTGTTTTTCTATAGCATTTTCAAGCATTAGAAAATTGTTAAAAAAAATTAAAAAATATGTGGGCCAGGTGAATATGCATAGTGTGGTAACAAAGTGAGCTCACTTAACATGCCTTGTTCCTTTATGGAAAGCTAGCTAGTCATTTAATAACTGAGAAGAAACTAAATTTTGCCTGAAGTTCACCTATTAAATGAAGTCATAAGAATTATTCATAGGAATGTTAAAATACATGTTAGCATTAATTAAGCTATCGGGTTTACTTGAAATGTAGCAAATTTCCATATTTTTTTTTCATTTGGTGTCACAATGCAGCACTTTTATCTCATAGTACCCTAAAAGGCTTATGATATGAAATATATTGTAGAATCTTGCTTACCATCCCATGCATCAAACATATCCGTGATGAAGTAATCTATGAAGGATATTTGGGATTTGGGGATGCTACAAGTATGTCTGTCAAAAACTGGCATCACCACAGGTAAACTCTGTCTCTTTTCTTCATCAGTCTGCAAAGAAAAGATTTTGTGATTATTTGGCTGACACGTTATACCAGTGAACTCCCACTAGCAGCAGACTGTTGGCCACCAACTGGTGCATGCAGATGCTTAATAAAAGGAGTGACATAGTGTGAACAGACTTGATCTAATCATGTGTATGTTCAGGAGCAATAGAACACTGAACAATGCTCCCTATTGGCTCAATTAATATATGGAGATATACCTATCTCATAGAACTGGAAGGGACCCTGAAAGGTCATGGAGTCCAGCCCCCTGCCTTCACTAGCAGGACCAAGTACTGATTTTGCCCCAGATCTCTAAGTGGCCCCCTCAAGGATTGAACTCACAATCCTGCGTTTAGCAGGCCAATGCTCAAACCACTGAGCTATCCCTCCCCCGAAAGTGACACATTTACCGCCTTCCAGATCTACAAACAAAGCTAGTTTTGTGGCACTTTGAAACTTTTTTTAACGCTATGACTGTTTTGGAGGTAAAGATGCTCCATAATTGCCAGTCTCCACCAGAAATGGAGTTTCAAACTTACCAGAAGGCAGGAAAATATCTTACAAAACATTTCTTTTACTTCTGAGGAATACAGGCCTAAATTCAGAATTTGGCCATGATCTGTAATGGTAGAAGACCAGGCAATCCCCACCAAAACCTCAGCCTCCAAGGGGCTTGCTCCTACATGACTTTATTCCTTGCTGTCTCCTTATGTGCTCCCTCACTAACACTAGTATTCTATCATCATATCCATGAGAGAGAGCGAGCTATGCATAAGGCCCTTTTCTTCCACAGGCTGTGAATGGAGTGCATTTTTAGGCAAAACAAATTGCAAATTGAACAATCTAGAAACTTAATTTTTTTCAGATTACACTGCAGGGCAGCCAGCTTCCATATGTTCACAGATACTGGGCCCTGCATTAATGTATATTGGTGATGAGCAACTAATATAAAATATAAACAAATTAATAGTGTAGCCTTAAGATCTTGTTTGGATATAAGTAGAGTCCGTTTGCTGATTCCTCCCATCCTATCAAAAGAAGTGCTCAGGTAGAATTTTTAGTCTTCTCCAGCTATCTTACCTGTGCAAAGTACTCCTCAGAGATGCGACCGGCCCATTCAATGCACTGCTCTAGGGGTCTGCATGGATTGGAAATGTCAGCGCACTTTATCAACATACGTTTGATAAGTATGCGATTTTCAGGAGACGTGAGAACGTTTTTGACTGAATCTCCATCACCATTATTACTCTGCAACATTTCAAAATTAAAAACAACAAATCAGCATTTTCTGTAAACAGACATTAAAACATTTTCTACTTCGGGAATGTTTCCAGTGTATCCCGCAGGGACCCAGTCCTGCATTCCTTGCATGCTTCACTGAAGACAATTCCAGGTGCTCAAATGCATCAAATCAAGAGGAAGGATGGTTGTGTGGTTAAGGCACTGGATTGGGACTCTGGAGCTCTAGGTTCCGTTCCTGGCGCTGTCACAGACCTAGTGTGTGAGCTTGGGTAAGTCACTGAGTCTCTCTGTGGCTCCATTCCCATCTCAGGAGTGCTGTGAGGATAAATTCATTAATGTGCAGATAGTACAAAGGCCATGTAACTACATAGACAGATGTATATAATTTTCCATTGCAGGATTAAGATGATAATTGAAAAACCCCCACAAAAACACACTGAGTTACATGTTAGCAGTGGAGCAAACAACTGTTTAGGAAAAGGCTGGGACTAGATGCGTGCCTGGTCAGTGCTAGCAGGTCTCATTATCATGAGCACAAACTACTGTGACAGCAGTACTGCTCCCAGGGCCAGCTCCCTCTTCCCATCCCATGCACCTGGTTTTCCATCCTCCCCCTCCCTACGGTGCCTGGCTTACTTGGCTTATAATCCAAATTATCTGTTTTTTGGATTTCATCACTATCAGATAAATTCATTAAAAAACCCTGCTTTTGATTAGCTTTATCCTATGCAGTTACGGAGAGTGGCGAAGGGACACTTGTTTAGAATATGTGGCTATATTTGGACCCCAGCCTGCACTATGTATGTTTCTGTCCAGTGGGACAGTTCACACAGTTGAGAGCTGCAAGATTGGGTCGGCCTTTTATGAGCTGGGGCCGAAGCTACCTTTACTATGGAGCTCTGATTAAAATTGTTTCTAGGGGTAGGGAATCAAGGCTGAGATGCCTAAAAATCCACCCAACAGAGTGGAGCATAGCTTGAGCTGTTGCCTGGTGGTATGACTACACTGCAAAAAAAATACCCGCAGCACTGAGTCTCAGAGCCCAGGTCAACTGACTTGGGTTGGCGCTGCTGGGCTAAAAATAGCAGCGTAGACATTCAGGCTTTGTCTGGAGCCCGAATGTCTACACTGCTATTTTTAGCCCTGTAACGCTAATCCCTGTCAGTTAACTCAGGCTCTGAGACTCACTGCTGTGGGTCTTTATTATTTTTTGCAGTGTAGATGTACCCTGGGTTAGCTCTGGATAATGGATTAAAATGTGGTGCCGCCAATAATAATAATATTTAGCTATCACTTCCCATGCATAAATCTCCAAGTGCTTCACAAAGGAAGGGAAGTCACAGCATTTCCCATTGATAGCTGGGGAAATTAAGGCTCAGAAAGGTGAAGTGACTTGCCCAAGGTGACACAGCAGGTCAGTAGCAGAGCTGAGAATAGAACCCAGCTATCTTAGTTCCCAGACCAGAGTCATCTCACTTGTCCAACATGTCTCCCAAGACACAAGCTTTTGTTCTGTTTTCCTAATTTTGTACCTTGCCCTCATTTGATCTCCATTGATCTTTAAACACAAAGTGTGGCTACTGCATATGGAGTAGTCACTTCAGCTGTTCCTTCACTGACCTAACTGTACTTTGGGCCCACTCCAACCCCTGCTGAAGTGAGTGGAAAAACTGCCATTGACTTCAGTTGGAGCTGGATGAGGCCCTTTGTGAGGAATGCAGATGTGAAGCATGGTAGCACATCTTCCTTCACGTCCCTTTTTAATTTTCTCCTTTGCTGAGATGCCTACAAAAAAACTTGACAATGGTTAGGCTGCTAGTGTGCTAAGACCATAGCCTATCATTCTGACCAATATTGTTTCCTTGTTCTTCCCTGTCTATCTGCATCCATCTGTTATCTCTTACCTTATATTTCGATTGTAAGCTCTCTGGAGCAGGGACCATCTTTTGTTCTATGTTTGCACAGTGCCTAGCACAATGGGGTTCTGGTCCACTCCTGGGCCTTCTAGCATTACGGTAATCCTGACAATTACAACACTAATAATGCAGCCAGCTCCTACATCTATTTGTACAAGAGGTACCAACTAGGCAGAATTCCACACTCCACTGCACAAAAGTAAACACCACATTGAGGTCAGCCAGGGTGGAATCTGAATTTCCCACTGTTCTGAGCTTTTACTAGTGCACATTGTTAATTACAGGGAAGAAAGTTCTTCCTGCAGGGTGACACTGATAAACCACAGCAAAACCAAATTAGACACTGGCGCTTAAAAAAAATTTTTAACTGCTGAAAATGATTAGAGATCATTCAGTAAATGACAGCAGAGATCAATAGGTACATCTCCAGGAGCTGAGAAAGGACTTTTGCTTCTGTGATCTGGAACCTGTCCAAACCAAAGCTATGGTTCTACTCAGAGGATGCGGCTGTCTTGGGAATAGATTCTGCTAACAGAGCTTAGTTCCAGCGTCCTGCTGAGAGCACAGAGGTGTCTCTGCAGGCCAGATCTAGGCTTCCTGTCACAAGCTTAGGTGACATCATGAAGGGAAATCGGAGGATAAAGGATGCTGGAGCTGGGATGGATTCTGTCAGTTTATGACACAAAAGAAGACAAGGAGCAAACCTAACAACTTCTCATCATGGCCCATTGAACAAATATGTACAGAAAGGACTAAAAAAGGGGAATTGTCCCATATGGAACAAACAGATGGCAGCTTGCCAACAAACACTCCGTTGAGTCACCGCTGTGATCCAAAGCCAAGCTCAGAGAAGCACGCTGCCATTGCTACCAAATACAGGACCAAACTCGAGGGAAGATCTGCTGGAGTGTAGTGTCCTGCCAATAACAAGCCCTGCAAATTAGTGGTTTTACCCACTCAAACATCATAAACATTTTTACAGGAGTCTGCAGTTTGGAGAAATACTCAGCTCAAATGAGGGAAACACTTTGATTTGATTATTTAAGTCAAACAGCAAATTAAGCCCTATTTTTCTCTAGAAAACGTGCATGCAGCAGGTCAAACTGCTAGGAATGAGACCAGACCCTTTGGCACAGGTTTTGCCCCTGAAATCAATGGGGCTGCACAGGATGTAAGCCAGGGCAGCATTTACACTTGGTTTGACTCCAGTCTAACCTGTATGTGTGTAGGGCTTGTCACTGCTGCCATTTGATCTCACAGAGGAGTGTGATATTGTAAGCCCCTTCCCCCAACCCAGAGAACTTTCTTCCCGGCTCAGACTGGGACTGCCGCTGCAGAAGCAGTGAGTGAAGCGGAGCTTTAGTTCTGCCCTCCCTGCTGCCCGGCGAGGCTCACAGGAAGGAGCAAGCTGTGAAGTACTATACTCCTCCTCAGAGCAAAGGAGCAGCAGCCCGGGAGGAATTGTGACAGTCGAGTCCGTTTGTACTCTGGTCTGCTCCCGGGACCGTGCAGCTGTGCGCTACACTTCCCTTTCTCAGAGCAGCTTGAAAGCCTCAGACTAGCCCTTAACCTCATTACATTTCTGTTGCATTCATGGATGCTAAGCTAATTTAACACCTGGACGTTGTGTAGCCTAACAGCTAAAGGGCCTGGCTTATATTTCACAGGTGTTTATTTAACATCCACTTGGGGGTTGTGTTATTATTTTAAAAATTCTTTATCTTTTTATTTGTAGTGTCAAAAGGATCCCTATGTTCCAAGCACTTACTATAATTACCTTTATTATCCAAAAATACTCTGCAATTACCCAAAACATGTTAACAACCCCTTTTATTGGAGGACCAAAATAATATTCAGTATCAAGTCTGTGCTGTACAATAATTTGCAGAACTGTGTTTTGCAGCTTGATGCTTCTTTTATCAAAGGTTTTGACTGTTTTGACTTCTGTAACTCTGCCAGAGGTTCTGGGTCTATTACAGGAGTGGGTGGGCGAGTTTCTCTGGCCTGCAATGTGCAAGAACTCACACTAGATGATCACGATGGTCCCTTCTGGCCGTAAAGTCTATGAAAGTTATTTTTTCATGGTCATTAAATTCCTGGAATTGAATAGATTGGTTTTTAGCCTAAAAATTCTCTATTGGTTTTACTGGCCATATACGTCCATTAAAATATCTATCAGCATTTTCCCAATAAAACAATTAAAGAGAGTTTGATTATTTCTTACTGTAGTTCTTAAGTAAAATATAATTTATCAAAAACATAAATTACTAAAATTACAAAAAAGGCAAAATGAAAGCGAGACCGTTTGATAGTTTAAAAATATAATTTTAGCCTGGGCTGGTACTGCTGCCCATTATTAAGATTGCCTGACACTATCTATTGTAAGACCCTGTGTTTTCAGTTGCTTGTAACTTTGCCAAACTTTAATCGTTTGGTCTGAAATATTTCCTAGCTGGTGTATACTTCAGGCTGAAATGTTTTGTAAAATTTTAGCCGTTTCTAAAAACAAGGTAAAGGAAAAAATGTTGGTTTTGCCAATATTCAAAAATTCTGGCAACCTTTTCTTTGAGAAGCTCTAGTGCCCCCATGCTTTGGAGCAGGGATTTGAAATTCGGCAGGAGGTGGCCTTTGAGTCAAGGATATGCCTTTGCTGTCCCTGTGAAGATCCACCCAAATCTGGCCAAGTTGCAAGCATCTGAAAAAAATCACAGTTCACACAAGCTCAGTAGAGACTTGCTAGCGCTTCACAGCTTAATTGCTCAAAGATTCCATCTACTCTGAGCTTGCTCCAGCCTGGGGCTGAGCAGGTCATTCCTTGTAATTGAAGTTCCTGGCTGCTCTGGGCCATGCCAAGTCCAAGTCCAGAACTGACAGCAGGGAGCCTGCCTCTCCACTGCTATCAATGACACCCCCACTCCTCACCCCTGCGGGGCCGTGCGGAGGAGAAAGCTGCATGATTCAAATGCAGAGTGGACAAGAGCCAGATCTGGGATGGGGTAGGAGGGTTATGCTGAGACAAGATCCAGGGTGTTTGTGCTTGGGACTGCAGGTTGACGGAGAGGGAAACTGGGACGGGGAGTTCATGGGGGA